TGGCTGTTGGAGAGGTCCAGTCGGCACCTCGAGGAAACAGTCCTCGAGTGTGCTTGGGGTGGTCCAGCCTCGGTTGCAGGAACTGTTGTCTGTCACCTGCGGCTGAAGATGGGGGCTTGGCTACAGAGTGGGCGGCGTCACTTTCTGTCCCAACTTTTTCAGAAGCCCAAGTTGCCATCTGGAGAAGGCACCTCCTTCCCTCTCGGGACCAGCGGACTTCTCTCCCTGTCCGTCTCTCCTCTTCTCTCTTCACCTTTCCCTCTTTGTACCTGTGCCTCTCTCCCCCTCCCTGCCTCTTTCAGTTTCTCTGGGCCTCTCTGGGCCTGTCTTTCTGTCTCTCCCCTTCTCTCTCCATCTCTCTCCGTCTCTGCTTCTCTTTGTTTTTCTGTTTCTCTTGCCCCCCCCTGAGGCACTCTGTCTCTCTTCCTTTCCTGCCCCCTTTCTCTCTGTCTTTTGCTCCCCTCTTCCATGTGACCTTCCTTCTTCAGCCTTAGGTGAACCTCACCACCCACAGCAGGAGGTGGGAGTTCTGGGGAGTGAGGGGTGACTCCACACCTGGGTCTTTCCCCAGGATGGGGCTCCTCTGCACCTCTTGCAGGGAAGGTGGATTTTCATGTGTCCCGTCTCTCCCCGTGGCCCGGGGCACCAGCTGCATGTCTCTTCCGGAGGCCCAGGCAGGTGTAGGTGTCAAGGGCCCAAGGGCCGGGACCCCTGGCTCGGGGCTGTCTGGAGCCCTCCCTGCCGGAGCAGGCCAGGAGGAGCCGGGTCACAGTCCCGGTGACAGCACAGGACAATGACTGCCACCGCGCGTCTAGACAGACCTGCTAAGGCTATTAAGCAGGGAACAAAGATGGTCTTTGTTGTGGGGTCAAGGGAATCGGTCAGACGCGTCCGAGCGGTGGAGTCTTGTCAGGTAGACGGGGTATAGACAATGCACCGTCTGGGACGCCCGGCCGGTCCCTTCCTTTCCCGGAGATGCTCGGCACTCACTGCCAATTGTTGTGGGACTGGGGGTGTGCTGCCAGCCCCCCAGGAGAACCAGTTGGCCCTGTTGGAACAGAAAGTGTTTAGGAGCAAAGAATTGCGTGAGATTACTGGCCGCCCACCTCTCATAACTTCAGAGGAACTTAATAGCTGCTCTTTGACCTCCGTTACCCGTTTTAAAATTGGAGAATAATTTGCAAAGAATGACATGTACTGATCTGCAGTATCCGCCTCACTTAGGAGAAAAGTATTTATGCCCAGGTCTCCAAAGCTCCATTGCAGTCCACCTAGAGCAGCGGTTCTCAACCTTCCTAATGCCGCGACCCTTGAATACTGTTCCTCATGTTGTGGTGACCCCCAACCATAACATTATTTTCGTTGCTACTTCATAACTGTAATTTTGCTACTGTTATGAATCGTCATGTAAATATCTGATATGCAGGATGTATTTTCATTGTTACAAATTGAACATAACTAAAGCATAGTGATTAATCACAAAAACAATATGTAATTATATATGTGCTTTCCGATGGTCTTAGGCGACCCCTGTGAAAGGGTCATTCGACCCCCAAAGGGGTCGCGACCCACAGGTTGAGAACCGCTGACCTAGAATCTGCCCTCCTGTCTCCCACCGCCCCTCCCCCCCTCGTCCTGCCCCAGGGACAGCTGCCATCCTGAGCTCGGTCACCGTAGAGGAGTTTTGCTTGATCTTGAATGTGTGGCACAGCCTCTGTGCCCCAGTGTGCCAGTTGCTTTTGCTCAGCTGCTCTGGTGCAGGCGGGCAACCGGCTCTTTTCCTGATTCACCCCTCCGCCCACTGACAGCGGCATTCGGAGACTTCAGGGTCTGCTCCCTAAGAGTAAGGCAGCCGCGGCGCTCCCATCAGGGTCTTTACCCAGAGGGGGATGGCTTGCTCTGTGTGTGCATGTTCTTTGATGGGGGTTTTCCTAGTTCAGATGTTTCCCCCGTTGGGAAGGGGCTAGCGCTGCACCCAGAGAACATGAGGAACTCAGGTTCGATCAAGAGGGTGACTCGTTCTGTGGCTCCCAGCTCATTTTCTACTGCTGAGGTGTGCGGGCACGTGGCATCGAGCTTATGGCGGAGAGGAGGGCAGAGAGGGTTTGCAGGGAGGGGCTGCCCAGAGCCGGGCGTCCGGCCTTGGCACATCCCATGTCATGGGGGCCACTGGGAGGGTTTCTGTCCCCAGAGAGGATTGCTTGGATTGGTCACTAATCAAATTAGTAGCATCCCTGATCTCTGCCCTCAGAGGCGATGCCACCAAATTGACTTGCTTGGGCCTGTGAGGGGCTCAGTTTGGGACAACTTACGACTGAGACTCTGAATAAGTCCTTCCTCAGCCTGAGAAATGGATTCTTTTAATTTCTGTACTTTTTCTTTTTTTAGAGAGAGAGGAAGGGAGAGGGAGAGAGAGAAACATGAGTTGGCTTCCTCCTGCCTGTCCCCTGCTGGGGATCAAGCCTGCAACCTGGGCATGTTGCCCTGACCTGGAATCGAACCCGAGACCTTTTGGTGCATGGGATGACGCTCAGCCAACTGAGCCACACCAGCCAGGTCAATTTCTGGGCTTTAAACCTATTTTCTGTTGCCAGAAAAGGCTGCCAGGGCGCAGGACGAAGACACGGGGTAAGGCAGGAAAGTTCCAAGCAGTGAGGACAGGAGGTTAAGAGCAGGTGGCGTCACGGTTGGTGGGGCGTGAGGATGGATGAGATGATTCCATCCTCGACCAACATAAAGCCTTTGCTGGAGACGCCTCCCAGCCTGTGCGGAGAGGAAGCAACCGTCTTTATCCCCCTTCAACTACATTTTTGACAAGTTATAAGAATCATACAAAGAAGTCTTTTCCATGCCCAGATCCCCCAATTCTTAGTATTATATTACGTTTGCTTTTTCTCTATAGAGAAGTAAATAAGAAGATAAGTGTAATTTAATTTTTTTTCTTGACTTCTAAGTCATTTTTTATTGTGGTGAAATACACATAATGTAAAATTTACCTCAGTTATTTTTTAAACGTATTTTTTCCGTTGACGTTTTTATATGTGTATATTTTTATTTCAGAGAGGGAGATAGAAACATCAATGATGAGAGAGAATCAGTGATTGGCTGCCTCCTGCACGCCCCACACTGGGGATGGAGCCTGCCACCCAGGCATGTGCCCTTGGCTGGAATCGAACCCGGGACCCTTCAGTCCGTAGGCTGATGCTCTATCCACTGAGCCAAACTGGCTAGGGCTCAGTGATTTTTTTTTTTTTTTTTACTTATTATTGATTTCAGAGAGAAAGGGAGAGGGGGAGAGATGAGATAGAAGCATCAATGAGAGAGAATCATTGATCAGCTGCCTCCTGCACGTCCCCTACTGGGGATCTAGTCCGCAACCTGGACATGTGCTCTGACAGGGAATCAAACTGGCAACTTTTCTGTGCAGGAGGTGACGCCCAACCAGCTAAGCCACACTGGCCAGGGTGGTGTGATATGATTTTAGATTCTGCCTTGGGGGTCAGGAGGCTGGGACAGTGTGGGGCAGAACACAGTGGGACTTGGTCTCCAAATCGAGTTGACAAACAAAATTCAGGTGTATCCAGCAAACCTCAAGCACATGGTGGTCTGTCCGTTTGTGTGGCCATAACAATCACTTCAGTGTGTGGAAACTGGGTAAATGTTTATGAAATCGGGGAGCTGAAACGGTGGTCACAGATCTGAAACCTCCCTCGCTTCTCAGGGGTTTGACCGGGTGGAAAGCGATCTGGTCAGGTAGGAGTCCTGATTGCACGCTGGCCAGCATGTGCCTGCTCTGTCTCTGCATCTCAGATCCTTAACGAATGTCTTCTCTGGTCCCATAGCACAATCAGTCCAGAGGGTCGAGGTGTAGATGGCAGGGGAGCTCGAAGAATGCAAATACGAATGACCACGAAAAATGATTGTGGGAGAAATGAAATATTTTACAAAGTTTCTCTTTAGTGCATTTTAATGTTTTAAAATCCATTTCGGCCCGGCCAGTGTGGGCCAGTGGTTGAGCATTGACCTATGAATCAGGGGGTCAAGGTTCGATTTCTGGTCAAGGCACCTGCCCTGGTTACGGGCTCAATCCCCAGTGAGGGGCGTGCAGGAGGCAGCCGCTCGGTGATGTTTCTCTCATCATTGATGTTTCTTTCTCTCCTCTCCTTTCCTCTCTCTCAAATTAATAAACACATATTAATAAAGACATATTTTTAAAAAATAAAATCAATTTCACGCAGAGCATAACCCCCACACCCCCACAACCAACTGTCCCAGCAACAGCCTGCAGCTCGCTGTGCGCCAGGGTTTGGGGTGTAGGCTTGCACTCTGTCCTCATCTGTCCAGCTGTGGGATATCTCTGGGGATCCTTCCTGGCCCCACAAGTCACCGGGCTTGATGAGAGGGAAGGGGTTCCAGTTCCTGGTGTTGGCATTTGCGACACCCCCCCACGCCCACACACACACCATCATGCCCCACCCACCCTCCAGGGGTCCTTGCTCCCAGGTGACCTGCCGCACCCTCTTTGGGGAGCGGTTTGGAATGATCTGTCAGTGAGGAGAGACCTGCTTTCCCAGGCGTCAGCTGCCTCCAGGGTAAACTGCAGTGACTGGGTGTGGGTTGGGCAGCAGGGATAGCAAGGTCAGGCGAGCTGGAGGAGATGCAGGAACTCAGCTGTGGCAGATTCCCTGAGGCGTCACACAAATGAGGCACCTGGGACCTGCCCGTGGCCCAGAGAACGCCCACTGGCAGCAGCCTTTCCACACCACTGCGTGAGATCTGAGGACAATGTGAACTAGCTCGACTGATAATCATTATTTGGGGTATTAATTCGACTATGAAGAATGTCCAGGTCTTCATATTGAGCTGAAGTCTTCATCCCCAAATATCTCTGCCCCCCTCTGGGTGCCGGGCTGGCCGGCTCACTGTTCCTCCAGCGAATCTGGTTCTGGGCCTTGGGCCGGCCAGGTGGTAGGCTCCGCCCACAAGGAGTTAACAGGCAGACCCTTGGTGGAAAGCATCAGTGTTTCCCCAGAAAAGTGTGTACGCAGTAACCCCTGGCCCTGTTTGTATGTATAGGATTCATGATGTTCTTAGACCACCTCCTGCCCAAGATGGTTAGAGGCTCCCTAAGGAGCTGGGAAGCCCCCGCATATGAATGCTGAGCTCCTGCTATATACCACCCACCAAGTCTATGCATAATTCTTAGCAGGTGTAACCAGGGAAAGCGTAGTAACAACAAAAACAGTAGTAACAGTGGCAACATCATTTGAGCTTTGCTTGGAACTCTTAGTGTGAGTTTGTTCATTTAATTCTTCTAAGCACATTGTGAGGTCAGTACCTTTTTTAATCCCCATTTTACAGATGAGAAGACTGAGGCTCAGAGAGGTTAAGTGACATGCCCAAGGTCACATAGGCAGGGTTCAAACCCAAGAGCCCAGCTCCAGAGGCTGCAGCATCACAGCCCTGCCGCTCATGGACGTGCAGATAGAGTTCGAGGCGAGCGGGTCGGGGGAGGGGATGAGGGGAGAGCTTTGGGGTAGACCAGCCCACTTGCCTACCCACTCTGCCCAGAGTCAGGACACCCACCTGTTTTCTGAGGATCGGCCAGTTTATCCCCACGGAACACCGTATTGCTGTGCTGCCTAATGCTCCGACACCCCCTCTCCCTCGCTTTCAGGAGCTGGAGAAGCTGGGCCTTGGCGACAGCGTGGACCTGCACGTGTACGAGATTCCCGTCGAGTACAAGACAGTCCAGAGGCTCATCCCCGCCCTGTGGGAGAAGCACAGCCCACAGGTGAGCCGGGCAAAGGCAGCTGCTTCCTTATCGGGCCCTGAGATGGGCGCCCACCCCGGGGTGATTTATGGAGCTTTGTTCCTGCTTTGATCTCATGCAGTCAGAGATCAAGAATCATTGAGATGTTTTACACTTTTTTTGTGCCCAATCCCCCAAATCTGATAGTTTTTACACTTGACTGTACATCTCAGTTTGCACCAGCCACATGACAAGGGCTCAGTAGCTGCCTAAATTTTCAGTGTTCACATAGTTTCTTACAGGGCCCCGTCTGTGTGTAAGCATACACACCAGTAATTGATGGTTGAAGTTACACTGTAGTCAGTTTGGTATCCTGCTTTTCATAAATATTTTATCATGAGCATTTAATCACCTAGGTCATTAAAAATTCTCCCTAACCATTATTTTAATCGCTGGGTAATTTTTAGTAATTAATATAACCATTCTCTTATAATTGGGTGTGCTACTTGTTTCCATTTTTATAAGTAACACGGAAGTGAGCATTGAAAGACTATTACATCTTTGATTATTTTTAGGCTACATTCCTAAAAGTGATACGTGGTCTTTTGCATTTGGCAATATGTCTTGGAGATCATGCCTTACAGAACTGCTTTGGGCATTTTAGCAGCTACACAGTAGTTCATAACTTATTTAACCAGCCCACACAAATAATTAATTACGTGTTTTCCAGTATTTGATTGTATTAAAAGGCTATGGAAACATCCTTGCATGATTCACATCCTTGTACGTGGCACTTGGCATACCTTTCTGCAGTGGTGACTTTGGGTCTGTTCCAGCAGAAGAGGTGGGAAACGGTGTAACTGCGGGTGGAGCCCAGCAAGGCTGCCACCCTCTCCTTGACCTGAGGGCCCCCCTAGTCCCGGGGACAGGCCCTGTGAAGCCCCGCCTGTCTGTCTGCAGCTGGTGGTGCATGTGGGCGTGTCGGGCATGGCAACCACAGTCACGCTGGAGAAGTGCGGCCACAACAAGGGCTACAAAGGGCTGGACAATTGCCGCTTCTGCCCCGGCTCCCAGTGCTGCGTGGAGGATGGGCCTGAAAGCATCGATTCCATCATCGACATGGACGCCGTGTGTAAGAGGGTCACGACCCTGGGCCTGGATGTGTCGGTGACCATCTCGCAAGATGCCGGCAGGTAGGGCTCCGTGGGGTGGGTGTGAGTGGGTTTCCCTCCTCCACCGGCCCAGGCCAGTGCCAAGCAAGCCAGGTGTGTTGACTTTGGCCTCTGAGGGCTGAAGGCTCACCATGCGTAAACCACAGAACAAAGGATCTACTCTTAACAGGTCGCACCGATGCTGCTTCCGGAGCTCATTACGCATGGATCTGCCCCCTTCTCCCCACCTGGTCCCTGCCGTCTCCCATCTGGATGCGGCTCCAGCCAGCTCCCTGCTGTCCTCCCCCACGCAGTCTATTTCTATACTAGTTTTCCTGCCGCTGCTGTAACAAAACCACACACAGAAATTTATTCTCTCCCAGTTCTGGGGGCCGGACGTCCAAAATCAAAGGGTCAGCCAGGTCCATTCCTTCTCAAAGCTCTGAAGAGAGTCTGTTCCCTGTCTCTCTCCTGACCTGTGGCGGCTGCCGGTGGCCCTTTGCGTTCCTTGGCTCGGAGATGTGTCACCCCAATCCTGCCTCTGTCTTCCTATGGCTTTTTTTTTTTTAAATCCTCACCCAAGGATATTTTTCCATTGATTTTTAGAGAGTGGAAGAGAGAGGGAAAGACAGAGAGAAATATTGATGTGAAGGAAGCACATTGGTTGCTTGCCTCCTGCACGAGCCCCGGCCAGGGCCCAGGCCAGGGAGGAGCCTGCAACCGAGGTACGTGCCCTTGACCAGAATGGAACCTGGGACCCTTCAGTCCACAGGCCGACTGGCTAGGGCCATATGGCCTCCTTATAAGGACACCGGTCATTGGATTTAGGACCCACCCTAGTCCAGTATGACCTCCTGTTACCTAATTACATCTGCTAAACCCCCATATCCAAGTAAGGTCTCATTCTGAGGTGCCAGGTGAACATGAATTTGGAAGGGAGACTATTACAGGTCTTTTATAAGTTTAGGTCAGATGATGTCTCTTCCTTGCTGAATCCTCCCTAAAGCTCCCACTGCACCTGGAATAAAATCCCAGTCTCTCCCCACCATCCCCAGGTGCTATGTGGTCTGGCCCCTACCCACTCCTCCACCCTCATCTGCCTCCACACTCTCCTTACCCATTGCATTCCAGACCCACAAACCAGCCTCCTCCTGTTCCTGCTCACTCTAGCCTCAGGGCCTTTGCACTCGCTGTAGCCTCTGCCCAAACTTGCCTCCCTCCGACGAGGCCTCTTTCAGGTCTCAGCTCCAACATGTTGCCTCCTCTACCTCCCAGACCAAGCTGTGTCCTCTGTTCCACTCCCTCTCAGCACCTGGCACCTGGATTTCTCAACACGTCTCACACTTCTCCATCCCAAAGGCAGCAGGTGACAAATTCAGCTGACTGACTGATGTAGGAGTGACTGAATTTCTTATCCGTCTCCTTTTAAAACCAGTTTGAAGTTGCACAGACAATTCTAGGCTATGTTCTCATATGTTCCCGTAGTGAAAAATTCTCTTGCCCTCTCTCCTTCCCGCTGGCGACCCCTCTGTTAAGCGAGAGACTTAAATTCTGAGCCCTCCTATCACCTCCATGTCTCCATCCGTGTCTAGAGCACTTGGCATGCTGCTTTAGCATTTTGTCCCGTTTCGCTTTGCTTTTATGTGGACGGGGTTACGTGGCATGGAGTTTCCCGAGCATTCCCTCCCTCGCTTTCACTTACGGACACACGACTGGGCCTTCGTGAGTTCTTTGTCTTCCTCTGGAGCTGCCACATGCCTTGGAACTGGTTGTGTAGTTTTCCACCGTGTGGATAAACCGAAGTTTATTAAGCCACTCCTCCGTCAGTGGACCTTTAGGTTGTGTCTTCGTCTGTTTGAGTTGCAATAACCAAATACCGCAGACTGGGGGCGCTTGACAACAACAGAAATGTATTGCTCACCGTTCTGGAGGCTGGGAAGTTCAAGATCAAGGGAGGCCCTCCTCCAGATGGCTGGCTTCTTGTATGTCCTCACACGTGGGAGGAGCAAGAGCGCTCTCTGAGGTCTCTGTTAAAAGGTCACCAACGCCATTGATGAGGGCCCTCGCTTCTCAGAGAACCCACCTCCTAATACCATCACATTGGGAATGAGGGCTTCACATAGGAATTGTGTGTGCGGGGTGGGGGTGGGAGACGGATGGGACACACACACACACACACACACACACACACATTCCGACCCTGGCAGGTGGCTTCCTGTTGTCCTGTGTTATACACACACTGCAGCGAACACCTTGTTTATCTTTCTGTGCAGCTGGCTCCTGAAGGCAGGTTCTAAGAACTGGAACCGTCAGTTTGTAAAGACTGTGCCTTCGTCATTATGCGAGCCTGCCAGAGCGCCTTCCCCTGGGGCAGTTTCCGTCCACGCTAGCAGCGTGTCACACTGCCCACGTCCCCACATACGTACCCGCACCGGGAGTTCACAGGTTGTTTTTGTGTGTGTGTGTTTTTCATTTTGCCAACCTGAGAAGGGAGAGCAGTATTCCCTCCCTCTTGAGGATTTCCGGTGGGATTGGGTGTCTTACAGGAGGTTTGGATGGAGGCTGTCCTGTTAGTCTGACTATGTTTCGATCTCCCGCCTGCCCCCTATGTCCTGCGGCTTAGGTACCTCTGTGACTTCACCTACTACACCTCTCTGTACCAGAGTCACGGCCGCTCAGCCTTTGTCCACGTGCCTCCGCTGGGCAAGCCGTACAACGCAGACCAGCTGGGCAGGGCGCTGCGGGCCATCATCGAGGAGATGCTGGGCGTCCTGGAGCAGTCCGAAGACAGAATCCACTGTCGCCACGAACACTAAGAGCCACTCAGGCCTCCCGAGGCCTCACCCTACCAGGGACCCAGGAGGAGGCAAACTTTCAGCCGGTGATCCGATTCGGATCAGATCTTTCTGTTTACACACCTCCTCTCCCTTTTGATCTGCAAACGTGCTGATTGATTTGAACGGGCTGCTGAAGAGTGTTTCTCTGTTTCCCTTGGCATCTGGGGAGGTGGCCGTGATGTCCAGAGACCCTTGGGTGCGGATTTCTGAAGAGAATCCTGATTGGTTTATCTCCACGCCGCGATCCCACAGCTGGGCCACCTGTGCCCCTGCTCCTGAGGGCTCCGGGGACGGGATTTCGGAGTTCCCTCCACCCCATCACTGGCTTTTCCCAACCGTGAAGGCCTCTCCGAGAGGCTGCCCTGACCCGTGTCCCCACAGCTTGGACGGCCGTGGGCTTTGCTGTGACTTTGTTATTTTCAAAATTCTGTTCTCTCTCTCGCTTTTTAAAATTAATTGTTGAGAGAGAGAGAGAGAGAGAGAGAGAAAAGGGGGGAGAGAGAAACCCTGACTTGTTGTTCCCCTTATTTATGCGCTCATCGGTTGCTGTTTGTACGTGCCCTGATGGGGGATTGGACCCGCAACCTTGACATACCCGGGCGATGCTCTAACCAAATGAGCTGCCCGGCCAAGGCCTTACTCTCTTTTTTAAAACAATAGTGCTAGTTTGGGCACCGAGTAATTTATATTCCCTTCGGTTAAAACACAGGCTTTAGCCAACAACGAAAGTGTCTTTTCTTTTTCCTGGGGTGCAGCCCCTTCTGCCTCCTGTCCCGAGCACGGGACCTGCATCTCCGTTTGGGGGCTGACACTGGCCGTACTTGGGTTTGGGGACTGAGTGGGGGGAGGGTTGCTGCCCCAGGAGGTTGAAGGGTTTGCTGACCCTTTCGACACCCCAGCTGTGAGCTCTGGAGCGGGCCCCCCGGTGGAAAGGCCGACTTTGCCATCTTGACATGTACATGATTTTTTTTTTTTTAATATGTAAAAATTTGTAGCAGCTGAAAACCCACCCGCATCTGGCCTGGATTTTGGAGCTTTGGTGCTAGGGGCAAGCTTCTTGTTTTCCTTTAGGGGGCGCCCAAAGCCGGGCCTGGGGCTGGAGTTTGCCGAGCTCCTGTGTGTGCTGGCGCAGGGACCAGCGGGCTTTTGTGGGGATGGTTTTTGGCGTCGCACCCCGATTCAGGAGTGACTTGTTACCACCCTCCCCGGTGGCTTTGGACTTACAGCCAGGGATGAGCGTGGCATTTCCCAGGAGGCAACTACCTTCAGCTGTACCTTGGCCTCGTCAGGACAGGGCGGCGGCAGCAAGCGGGAAGCCGATCGAGAAAAAATACATGTTTGGGGAGAATTCCCGTTATTTCGGAGAACACGCGGCTTTATCATTTCCCTCAGCGCGAAGCAGACCGGAGTCTGATGCTGCATCGGATCCCGTCGATATCCGGACATGCAGGTCTCTGTTTGTTTTTAATTTTTTACTTCCTGATTTTTAGAGAGAGAAGAAGAGAGAGAGAGAAACATCGATTTGTTGTTCCGCTTATTTATGCACTCCTTGATTGATTCTGTATGTGTCCTGACTGTCGATGGAGCCCACAGTCTTGGTGTATCAGGATGATGCCCCAACCAACCAAGCTACCTGGCCAGGGCTATTTTTAATTAATTATTTATTTTTTTAAAAAAGGAGAGAGAGAGAAAGAGAGAGAGAGAGAGAGAGAGAGAGAGAGAGAGATCAGTGTGTTCTTCGTCTTATATATGCATTTATTGGTTTATTCCGGCATGTGCCTTGACCAGGGACCGAACCCACAGCCTTGATGTATCAGGATGACACTCTAACCAACTGACCTGCCCGGCCAGGACCAGTCTTGTTTTTTAAATAGTTGATATTTTTATTCTGTTTTCTTAAACATTTACCTTCTTTCCTTCCTGTTCCAGTGCCGGGGTGGCTCCTGCCTCTGCAGCACTATGTGGACTGGGAACCAGGTTGATGGGTTTCTGAGTTAGAGGCATTTTCTGACCCCTGGGCTTTCTTTGGAGGAGGAAAGGGGGCGCTGGTGGGAGACGAGGGGGCTTGGCTGTGGGCGTAGACTGTGGCCAGCAGGTGGAAATGATTGGGCCTCTGCTTCCCCCTCCATGCCAGCCCTCCCTCTGCCAGAAATGTCCCCTCCTGGTCCCCAGTCTGAGGTTGGGGTCTCCTGAGGAATCTGGGTGTGTGGGATATAATTGCATCTGCTCCATCACCTGGCTTCTGTGGGCAGAAATTGTGGCTCTTGAATGTGGGGGTGGGCCTCAAGGCGGGGGGGGGGGGCAGAGGTCTTATTCATAACATCAAGTTCCATCTAGCTCTGCTCCCCAAAGACCTGATTTTGGGGGCTCTGAGGAGAAAATGAAACTTGGCAGGATGGGGAGGGAGGTGAGGATTGGAGGTGAGCCAGGTCCAATCTTAGCTGGGTACCTACTGGAACCCAGGTGCTCCCCAAAGTCCACATTTTCATCTTTCTTTTGTCCTCATTTCACCTCTCTGTTTAAAGCACCCTGAGATTTAGCAGCCGAGAGACGTAACTTATTGTCTGATCATTGTCAAGTGTGTGTGTGCCATTTTTGTGTTCCCGCATTTGTTTTCGATTTCCTCAAAATGGACCGGAATCCTGTCCTTGTCCATGATACAGCACATATAGCTCATTTTTATTTAATCAGACAGCTATTAAATATTTCACTCATCCCTGACAGCTTTTTTTTTTTTCCTGTTTAGAATTTTTGAAAATTTTTCTTTTGGGTCAACTCATCCATTCACTCCATGATATGTCTGTCTGCGTTTGTTGGGTCTCGGACCAAAATGTTTTTGTGTAAGACGAGAGGGCCAGGTTCCCTTCCTCTCCCTTGTCGTTTTCAGAGCCTCAGATTGGGGCACAGAATGGGACAGGCGGGTGGGTCTGTGGAAGGGGTGCAGCTGTCAGGTGTGGAGGAGAATGATTCCAGAAGAGGTGGGTGTGACAGAGCTAATGGTGGAAAGTTAACCGAGGGATGTGATGTGAAGGCTGGTGGGGGGCGGTGAGAAGTGATGCTGGGGGCGGTCTCATATGGAAGCTGAAGGGGCCTCTCCCTGGTGAGCCTCTGAGGGGGGGAACAGGGGGAGGGAGTGTGATTTGGGTGTCTGGTTTAATATGCTAGAGCCTCTGCACCCCATACCTTGATTCTTCTCTCAGCTCCTTTGGCTCCCCGTCCCCCTCCAAAAAGAAGGTCAGTGGTGTGTGCGTGAGTACGTAGCTTGAAAAAGAAAGAAGATGGTGGAAAAAAGGAAGGAAGGGAGGAAGGAAGATGGAAAGAAGGAGGGATTTGAGTTGGTGTTCTGGGCAGGTGCCACTTGGCCTACCTGGTCCAGTCAAGGAGCAGCCAGGGCCCCAGCCACTGAGAGAGACAGGGCCAGGCAGGGGGCAACATCATGGCTTCCTACTCAGCACCAAGTCTTTGGCAAGAGTGTCAGATTGCAATCATTTCAGCACGAAAATCATTTTCAGCTGCCCTGCTGCTTGTTGGCATGGAAACTTCTATCAGGACGGGCCTGCTCAGGACAGCTGGAAAAGTAGATTCAAGATACCGTATTATCATCTTAGACGTCTCGGCTGGGAAGCTAGGCCAGCTGGGGGGCGGAGGAGGGGGTGTGCACCAGCGCTCCTGTGCCCCTTGGCAGTACCCAGGTTGGGGAGGGGAGCTGCTGGGGAAATCTGCCCACACACCAGCCTCTTTTTTGCTGCCACTGTCTAGACAGTTGACCTTTGACCTCTCCGCCCCTTGGAGTGTCTGAGCCAGAATTCTCCTTCAAGGACGGTGGGACAAAGCTCCATTCTTCACCGTTCCCCAGCCTCCACCTGGAGACCGAGCCTGCGGCCACGTGGGGCACTCACCAATGGTGGTCGGAGGGGCGGGGCGCCTTAGTGCCAGGTGGCCCCCCTCAATCCTCCTGGCTATGAATCTATGGTATCCGTGGACTTGGAGGAACCAAAAAGGGCTTTTTTCCCCCCATATCCCAGATGAAATTTCCCTTCTCCAGGCACAAGTGCCTTGCGAGGGCTTGGGGCTGCCGCTGGGTGAGGAAGCATGTTCAAGGCCAGGGTCCCGGTTGGACCCATGGCAGAATGGCTGTTTGGGGTGCGGACCATGTGCCAATGTTACATCTTGAAGGCCAGTGCCTCGGTGGGTGGTGGACATGCCTGCCAAGAGGCCCTGTCCCCTGGTGCAGGGGCAGTTGTCACAAGCTGGGTTTCTGGGGCTCCCAGACCTCGAGGGGCTCCCCACTCCGAATATCCGTTTCTCCTCCTCCCGCTCCTCACCCAAGCCGTTCCTTCAGCTGCCCCGACACCCGCAGAGGTGCCCGCCTCTCCCATGGGAATGGGGCTCGGAGAGGGGGCAGGATCCCTTCTCTGGGAGTTGGCCTGGCTCCCAAGTGCCCATTCGCAGGGGGGCGCCTGGGGGGAGCCGCTCTCCTGTCCTATACACTTCATCTCCAGGAAATCCCAGAGGAAGCCGGTTCGGAACAGGCTCAGCTCCCAAGGCTCGTGGAGTCCCCAGAACCCTGGGAGGCGCCACCTGGGTCCTGGGAGCGTTGTCTTTCCACCTGCCCAGGGGGTTCCCGGCTTCTAGGCCACCCCCCAACATCTTGTCCTAAATCGCTCCAGGAAAAAACTTTCCTGCCCACGGTCACCGTGTCTTCTGTCTCCAACAGAGGACCCTGCACCCCAGGTGGCTTCTCCCTGACCCCCTGAGTTCCCGTCAGTGCCTTGTCTGAAACCCTCACGGCCTGGGGCTCTCCACCAAGGAAGTGTCTGCCAGACTTTACTGAGGGCTGGACCCTGGGAGACCCCAAACTTGACACCCCAAAAGCAAATAAATCAGTTGAGATGTGATTTCTTGTGTGTCTGTGTGAGAAGTTGGCATCCACTGGGGTCACCTCCAGCGTGGGGGCATCCGTGGGCCGAGGGACCCCAAATCACCAGTCTCTCCCTCCTCGGCGTGTGGCCTGGGGCCGGATTTGTGGCCATTGCTCCCAGTGTGCTGAGGGGATGAGGGGGGGATTCTGTGCTGAGGCGCCTCTGTTCTGATGCACGGAGGGGCGGGGAGCGCCTCACGGTCACGCTGCCAGTGGGATTTGAGCCCTGAGTGCTGTCGGCAGCACGGGCAGACTTCTCACTCACACAGCCCTGTGTGTGGGGTGCCATCGCCACCTTTACAGATGGAGAAACTGAGGCTCTGCCGGTGGACCCCCTGCCCCCGTGTCCTGGGCAGGGAGGGGAGGCCTGGATCTGACCTCGGGCTGGCGTCCCTGAAGCTGACCAGCCTGGAGACTGAAAACGGGACTCGGTCGTTTCCCGTGCCTGTCCTCAGCAGGAATGAGGAAACTCCAGTCGGCGGCCGTGAAAGCGTAGCCCTTTGAGGCCAACGGGGCTTCAGCAATAGGACAATGTCTTGTCTCGGGAAATGTGGGTCCCAGGGGAGGAGGCCACTGCTCCCAGTCCTGGGCACCCCGGACTTTTGCCCCCCAAGAGGGGGGGTCCGTGGCCAGTGACCTTGTTCCTAAGGCTGCTCTTTTCTTGGCCCTGGGGTGTGGGCTACAGCCCCCGGAGTGCCCTCTAGTGGCTCCTGTGGCCAGTGGGAGGGGCGGTGATATTCTGTATGTCCTTTTTTTTTAGAGAAAGAGTGAGAGAGAAACATTGATTGGTTGCCTCCTGTATACACCCCGACCAGAGTCTGAACCCGCAACCTAGGTAAGTGCCCTGACTGGGAATCAAACCCACAACCTTTTGGGACAATGCTCCAACCAAGTGAGCCACACTCACCAGGGCCTGTGTGTCCTTTTCAAATGGGGGATCGCTCCCCAGTTTCTGAAAACCTCCCCTGACCCCCCTTGGCTGTCCTGCCCACGAAAAGCCCTGACAACACCCTTGGGCTGCAGGCCAAGAGACAGGCTGTGTGTGGCAGGGCGCCAGTGGTCCTAGGACACGGTGTGCGTGAGGATTGTGGGAGAGGCAACAGGCCAGTGGCACGGGACCTCGAGGCCTGGGGAGAGGCTTGCGTGTTCTTCTAAGGACCATGAGACGTGAGGGGAGGACTCGTTTTGCTTCCTTGAGCTGCAGTTTCTCCATATTCACGGAGCTTTAGTAGAATTCAATGAGATTCTGCTTTTACAGTCCGTAAGTGGGTGCCTGGGGCATAATTACAAATATAATAATTACAAATATAATTACCTCCTCCTCCAGGAAGCCCTCCTTCCTGTCCAGGTACCTCTTCGGACTCCCACAATTGCCTGGGTGTGCCCCCCCCTCCAAGTCACACATTCTGGGTATTAACTGACAGGTTCTGTGGGAGCTGGGGAGGGCGATTGGGTCTGTCTGGGGTCCCCTGTGTCCTCTGCATCCAGCACAGTGCTGGGCACAAAATAGGTGTGCAATGAACTACAAGAGGAGAGCGGAGAGGGATGAAGGCCGGATGTCCCATCCTTCGGCCAGCAAGGGGCGCAGAGAGATGCCTGAGCCTCCCAGGAGAGGAAGACAGGCCCTAGAGCAGCGGTTCTCAACCTGTGGGTCGCGACCCCTTTAGGGGTTGAATGACCCTTTCACAGGGGTCGCCTAAGACCATCAGAAAACACATATATAATTACATATTGTTTTGTGATTAATCACTATGCTTTAATTATGTTCAATGAAATTGGGGGTCACCACAACATGAGGAACTGTATTAAAGGGTCGCAGCATTAGGAAGGTTGAGAACCACTGCCCTAAAGGGCGAGGCTCCTCCTCCAGCCACAGTTCCCACCCCGCCTCTGGAGCCCCATCTCCGAGTCACTAGGACCTAGTGGCTGCACCTGGCACTCAGGAAGTACCTATTGTGCATTGGAACCTGGGTTGGGGACATGCCAGGAGTACAGAGCAGAGGTCCCAGATGGCCTGGGGGATGCAGAGCTCATTGCAGGGCAAGGCTTGGAGAGGCCGTGCTTGGCCCCATTCCACAGTGTCCCTCAGCTCTAGCAGGACATTCTCAGCCTCACTCCAAGGTGAAGGTCTGGGACACCAGTCTCACCATTCCAGTCTCAGCCTGTTCCGGGAACCTGCCTGGCCCCCGCCCCACCTCTCACAGCCCGTCGATTCCTTTTGTCCCGCAGGAGAAAGCCATACGCTATCCCTAGGTCTCTGCTGACCCCAGGCTGTCTCCTCGGCCTGGAAGCCCCCGCCCCTATTATGGGGAGCCTGGCCGTGGCATACTCAGCCCCAGGGCGCCTTATGTGCCATGCCAGCTCAGCCTGGTTCAGTGACCCTGAGTGGGGGGCGGGGCGGGGGGAAAGAATTGAGAAAAGACAGACAAGAGAATGAAAGCTGGGTCTCGGTGGGACACTGCTCCCTGATGAGAAGACAGCACCGGAGCCTACAAGCCGTGTCTTTATTTTATAGCAGATGCCACGAGGCAAAGTAGGGGCGTGATCACGTTGTTTACAGCATTCTCGTGAATCTCTACCCTACTCAACTACACGCACCTGAACTCTAGCAGAAGGCACGTGGGGCCACATGTTTGGACCACAGGTTCAAGCTTACAGCCACAGCCGTTGGCTATAATTGTGCTGGGAGGGCCCTGCCCTCCAGCTAGGACTTGCACGTGGCCATGAGAGGACCCTGTCCTTTCATTAGTCCGAGGCTTGAACCTGGCCAAAACACTGTAGCCGCGCCCCACATATCCCCCTTTACTTTTGTTTTTAAACACGCCCATTTACACTATCCAAAAAACTCTAAAATTATTCAGCATCATCAAAACATCAAAACAAATCCCCTGGCTATTAACAAAACTATAGACCCAGCAATGTTAACAAGAGAACAAAACTCTGGCTAATAACAAAGCAATACCAATGCAAAACCAAACTACAAACATGTCAACATTTTCAGGACATTCCACCCAGAGTCCTTAGATTTAGCTCCGCAAGATTTTACAGAAAACTGGCAGTTCACCAACACTAGCACAGCTTCCACTTGCTTTTCTAACATCTGCTTGGCCTCAGTCGCCATCTTCTTCAGCTGACTCCACGCCGATACCTCGGTCACTCGCGTAGCAAGATGCCGCCGATGCGAAGATGTCGTTGATGCAAAACCAGTCCCCTGGACCAGGCTGTTTGGACGGTTGACCTCGGCCCTGAGTCCGCACCAGTCCCCGTCAAATCAGCCCCGTCCGCGCAGTTGGAAGTCTGGTCCCTTCTCAGCTTCTTTCTTTAGCCGCTGCTGCGTGGAAACGAGCAGCCCTCGGTCCTGCAGAGCTGGAGACTTTCAGCTCTGGGTCTGGCGTCTCACACGGACCCAAAGTCCCAGGGAGCGATCAGGTTGCACAACGATAACCAAAGCCTAGAAACAATGCAACTGCTGCAAGAGCTTACAACCTAGGTCAGAAACAAAAATTACTTCCTTAAGCATCATCCACCACAGCCATCTTCTGCTTTACAGTGGCTTACACAAAACCTAGGAGATTTCTACCTTATTTTGTACCTCGTAATTACTTTTTTTTTTTTACTTCCTACCGCTTGCTTCTTACCGCTTGCTTTCTACTGTCTGGCTGCCCTTGCCCAAACCTTTCCTGGGTTGCAATCCCTGCTTATTTCTGCATTTCTACAGCTTATTTCCACTTTTTTTTCTACCGCTTATTTCCACAGCTTATTTCTACCTTAGCGCTTATTTTCTAACGTCTACCACTTATTTCTATTGCTTATTTCTTTCTACCACTTACTTTCTATTTCTACTGCTTATTTCTACTTATTTCTCTATTTCTACAGCTTATTTCTACCGCTTATTTCTACTTATTTCTCTATTTCTACAGCTTATTTCTACCGCTTATTTCTACTTATTTCTCTATTTCTATGGCTTATTTTCTACCTTAGGAATTTAAAAATGCTTACTTTAAAAATGCTTCAATTAAGCATTATTCCCATGTTTTACACCAAGCTAATTTTACCACACTTCGGCTCCCTACCTTATTTTTGTTTTTTGGCCTTCTTACTTTTGCTTTTGAAGCTTAACTTCTTATTTTCTTACTTTTGTTTTTTAAGCTTACTCTCTGCACGCGCCTTGGAGCCTCCTTTCACCTGACCACTTTTAAATTCCCCCCAACTCAGGCCTGTTCGGACACCACTTATTACGGCCAAAGGGGCCTGTCGGGCGTCACTTGTGCCGCGCCCCAAACTCAGGCCCTGGTCCCAGAACCCAGTCCCTGGTCGGGCGCCACCCCATTTATGCCTGGAGAACTCCTACGTATCCCTCAAAACCCAAGCTTTGGGGGAAGATGCCTTGAGTGTAACAGGCCTAGGAAGGGGTAAGGGGCGGGGGCGCGAAATATTGCACCAGAAATCCCAAAAGAGTACTTCCCCTACGCCCTCCTTTCAGCACTGGCCGTTGTGGGAAGTTGATCCCAGGCACTCAGCAGTTTCTACGAGGAGCGCCTGAAACTTGCCAGGACAGACCCCGGAAGGATGGAGGGGGCTCAGGCTGCCTCTCTTCCAAGTGTGGTACTGGGGGTGGGGGTGGGGGGTTGGGCGT